AAAAAAAAAAAAAAGAAAAAGCTTTTTTTTTTGTTTTTTGTTCCTGTCTTGTTTTTGCAGCTCCCTAAAGTCTCGTCCCGCACAGTATTAGGCACTCAATAAACAGGATACACTTTTAAAATTGACACGATGCCAGACAATACCGAGTAACATAGTAATATTCCCAGTCAAGAAATGTACCATCTCAAACTTTAATGTGCATAGAAAATCACTGAGGCAAATCTTGTTAAAATGCATATTCTGAATCAGTAAATCCGGGTGGAGCCCGAGAATTTGTATTTGTAATAAGCAACCAAGAGATGCGGATGTCGCTGATCTGTGACTTTGAGCAGTAAACATGTAAAGAAATGTTCAAAAGGAAGGCAGATGCTTTGCTCTAAAACATATTTTGCTTAGTGTTAATTAAATAGAAGTATGCTTAAGATGAAGCCAGGCCAAGCATTTCTTCCCCAGCCCCAAACTTCCCCTTTCTTTTTCCATTTCCCCTCCGTGTCCAGCCAAAGTCCCCAACTCCTTAAACAGTAAAAACACAAGCAGCAACAGGCCCACCTACTCAAGACACGAGCTTGGATAACAAAGAAATAATCGTCCCTGCACTTACTAGTCTAAGAGCCGGGGGAGTCGATGGAGTCCGGGCTGTAGCCTCTCCCACGCCATAAAGAAAAATTCAAAATTAAATACTTGTCAGGGAGGGACCAATCGTGGACACGGTTTCTGCATGATTCGCTCTTCGGATAGTGTAGGAGCACAGCCTTGCTTGTGATTGGCTGAGATAGCACAGTGTCCCGGCCAATCAGAGCTGAGGCGCTTCTAGTATGAATAAGGGAAGTCGGGAGAGAAGGGGAGGGGAAGCAGGAGAGGAAAGAAGGTGTGTTACGTCCCCTCTGCTGTCGGTGGAAGCTCTCGTGTGATTGGTCGGCTCTTCTTCCGATTGCACCAATCGCAAGCTCTTCTCTGCTGCGCCCTAACTATAAAATTGAAAGTAGAGAGCAGGGGGCAGCCAATGGAAAACAAAATGTGCACAGCAGCCAATCCTCCTGCGGCGTTTTGTGTCTTTGCCCAACAGGAAAATGTGTCTCATGCAGAGGGGCGTTACCCAGTTGCCAATGGGCGGGAGCCGGTGGAACGGAGGAGCCAATGAGTGCGAGACGTTGAGTGACAGCTGTCCAATGGAGGCCCTCCATGCTAGTATGGCTTGTGGCTTAAGCGCCGCCGCGGTCTGAGGAATGTCAACTATTCAACATGGAGGCGGAGGTCGATAAGCTGGAACTGATGGTGAGTGCAAAGTGAAGGAGATCTACTGGGTAGTTTATTTTTTCCCAACGGCCTCGAAGGTGGGGCACGAATTGGAGTCGCCGGAAACTCCCGGCAGCGGAGGCTGGACCAGAATCGAGTTCCCTCCTCCTGCACCAAAGGGAGCCGCCACCGTGGTGTCTAAAGTGCCGCGGGGGAAGGGGTTACATCCGGGAAACTCGTCAGGGAAATGGCGGGAGACGCTGAGGGTGCGGGGCCTTTGGAATTCCTTGTTCGTTTCCCTCAGATTTACACCTCTCACGGAACTGCGCCCGGTGCAGACCGCATTCAGTGTTTGTACCAAAAAAACGTGACTGGAACCGTCCCTAAGAGTCCCAAGAAAGGAGAGGTGGTTCACACTCCAAGAAAGGGGAACAGAGGGTGGGGTGGGGAATAAACCGAGGGGGGCGGGGAGAAATCCCAGTAGCGCCGACACCGCTCATGTTCTCAAAGGCGGGCGGAGAAAGTCTGAGAAAGGATGCTAGGCTTGTATACACAACTTCCTAACGGCCAAGGAAGCCCCTAGACCCGTTTTTGTTTGGTCCGGAGGTGGCAGACCTTGGGTGAGAGAAGAGGTTTGAGCGAAGGGGATCGGAACCGCGAGCTCCTTTCTGGAGCGCGGGCGGGATTGAGTCACCCTGCTCTCGAGTTGTCCACTTTCATTCATCTGTGAAAGTAGAAAACGGGGGTGAAGAATTAGAAAGCACTCCCGTTGTTGCTGGCGTGTTTGGCCTGCTCGGGGGCGCCCAGTTGGGGGGGGCTGCCCTTCTAGATTTCTTTAAGGATCTGTCTCTCACTTGCCCTCTTTATTCCCTCCCTCCTATCCTTAGATTACCAGCTTGATCGCCCGCGCTTTTTTCCTCTTACTTCCCTTGTTCTGTCTTCAGTCCTTTTCGTCCTGCGTTACCTTTTTTTTTTTTTTTTCCTTATGGGAATTTTTTTTTTTTCATTTTTTTTTTTTTTTCCAGGTTGGGCTGCTTTCCTTAGAAACCTGGACTTCGGAGGAAGCGCCTGCCTCTGAGCTCCTGTCTTTTTTTGTTTGCTTGTCTATTAAATAAAATAAGATTAGCCGGGTGAGGTGGTTCACGCCTGTAATCCTAGCACTTTGGGAGGCCGAGGTGGGCGGATCACGAGGTCAAGAGATGGACACCATCCTGGCCAACATGGTGAAACCCCGTCTCTACCAAAAATGCAAAAATTAGCCCGGTGTGGTGGCGCGCGCCTGTGGTCCTAGCTACTTGGGAGGCTGAAAATCCCTTGAATCCGGGACATGGACGTTGCAGTGAGCTGAGATCATGCCACTGCACCTGGGCCCAGGGACAGAGCGAGACTCCTAAAAAAAAGAAAGAAAGAAAATAAGTTTAAAAAAAGTAAAAAACTTGTTTCTTCTTCATTTGTAATCAGTCCTTCTTCCCCATGCCATTCCCTGGCATTACTGCTTAGGTATCGTTTGTGCCTTCCCTGGTTTCTCCAAGCTAAATCTTAGGTCTCTAACTTCTGCCTTGGAAAGGACGTGTGGTGATCCTGGAAGAAACCTCACCCACCCCCCATTCCCACCCCAGAAAAAGTGAGGCCTTGATATATGTGATGTGCTAATAAATTGGAATGCCTCTCATATGCAAATTTAATTTTAAGGCTTTCAATTGCTTTTAACATTTTGTGTTTAAATTTTCTTTGTGCAGCGTGTGTGGGGTTGGAGAAGTGTAGGGAGAAATGGCAGGGAAGAAGGAAGAATTTCCTGCAGATATTCACATGTGTAATAATGAACTTTTAGTTCTAAGTTTTATTATTTTTTATCGTCTTTTTAAAAACAAAATATTAAGTATTGTAATTTGATTTTGTCAACAGGCTTAAATGTTAAGACTATCTTGCCCTTCTCCCATTCTGAATTCCTCCCTACTGAGACAGATATTTCTGCTTAAATTCATTTCTGCTAAATGATGCCCATTCTGCTTTTAACAGGTTGTTTGCTTCTCAAGTTGGCTGTTTAATTTATAAACTTTGGCCTTTGCAATAGAGTCAGTATTCTCATAGGACTTCTTTAGATTGAACAAATTCTCTTTTACGTGAACAATGATGAAGTAAACATTTTGAAAAAGTAGGTTTTAGAAAATTATGAGGTAGCCAGACATTTAAACTTTTAGATATTGTTTGAATGATGGGATAGTATTTAAATTCTTTTTGAAGACAGGAAGAAAAGAAATGAGGTTTTTTCCTTTCTTACATCCTTGCAAGTAAATTAGTGGTAGCTTTTTTTTTCCTTTCAGTTTATTATTTTCCATAATTAGGATTTAAAAATGAATTTTTATCATGGCTTTAAATATTACTGCTTTGAGACTTGATAGTAGAAAACAGTGCATCTCATCTTCAGATTTGCCATGTGCTTTTAGAAAACAATGTTTTGCTTGTGGACCAGTTTAGTTTCTAAGATTTTAAGGGTAAATGATTTCCTGTGCTATTTTCTGATTTTTAGTTTTACATCAATTAGTAAAGGATTTGTCAAGGAACTAGCACTCATTATTTAATTTATAAAAAGAGAATACATAATATTTAATTTGAAAAGAAAGTGTTTATCCTAATTTTGTTGATACCTTAAATTTTTTTCATATTTTTCTTGTTTGTAATAACCTCCAATTCAGAAAACACTTGTTCTTTAAATTTGTTTTTTACACCTGATACTTAGCTACTAGAGTTAAATATCCTGATATTTGAGTTATGTGACCTGGGATTTGACACCAAGACACTTACATTTCAGCTGTCCTTAATATGAGTCCATTTCTTAGTAGGCTCAATCTGACTAAGTAGCTGAACCGGACTGTTTAAAGGGAGGTTGGCGAAAATAACAGAAATGTATTTCTGCGTCAATCAACATTACTAATGGGAGAATAAGCTTATTATAGGGCAATTTTTGTTCTCTAACTTTTTCCCCTTCACTTCTTGATAGAGTGGTATTTGTTTAGCTTCCTTCTTTCCTGGAACTACTAGTGATTTTACACAAAAGGTAATACAGTGTAATACTATGATACTATTTCTTCTGATTGGGTTCTTATCTGTTAAAAAATTAGAATGTTAACTAGCTTGGAACTGAGGAAACTTGTTACTTAAATCTCAGTCCCACCTCCCCCTGTTATCATTTTCTCTTGATATTTCTAAGTTTGAAGGAAATGGGGATGCCTTCTGGCTATAATATTTAAGATTTCAGGAGTTAACTGAAATTTTAAAATCCCCTTGGATAGTATTCAGTTAGATAGGGTTCATGTCCTGTTTAGAGCACATTGATTCCTTTCCATTGTTATAACGGCCTTTAGTAAAAAGCCTAAGATGGTAAGTGCTTTTGTGTTTTCTTTGTATTGTGGGTTAGATTCCAGAGTGATAGATTAGGTAGAGATTGAGAAACTTATTTTACTTTCCATTTGTTTTCTTTGATACTTTTATTCAAAGAGCTTGTTTTATGTGGCAGTTAATTAGTAAATTGCCTTGCAGTAGGAGCTAAACAATATCTCTGCAGAGAACAGAATTATTTTTTACAACTTTGCCTTAGTAGTAATTATAACCGGTTTTGTTAATACCAATCCTCAAGTATTAACAATACCCATTCTAATTACTATTAAAGCTTAGGGCATATTTACAAAATTCCTGTCTACATCTATGCATGTTTCTGTTTGAATGTTAATTTGTATATTAGGCATCAATAAGCAACATTACTTTGATATTTAAGTCTTATCCTTTAAAAAAAAATTGATATAAATGTTTTTTGGTTTTGGATGTTTTCTGTCCAAAATGGCAATCCTACTTTAAATTCGTTTCACACTGAAGCTTCAACTGATGCAAGGTGCTTTTGTGTTCCTTTCCTACTAATTACTGCTAACGAATGCTCTGACTTTATTGCACTACTGTACTTTACAGCTAGCAGTGCAATAGTATTGTCAAAGCATCTGAAAGCAGGATGCACATCAGAATTTTGATTCTTACCTCACATCTTTCTTCAGTATCAGTGAATAATTTATCACAACGTTTGTTGCTGAAAACTACAATGTTACTAGCAGTGTATCTTTTAGAAAGTCATAATTTGAAAAAAAAACTTTAATTAAAAACTCACTATTTTACTGCATTATGAAACATATCTAGAGAATTTTTTTATATCTAAGTAGTTATGGTTTGTCTAATTGAATAATACTTTATAATTTGTTGCTTTCTGTTACATATTTGGATAGGTTCTGGCAAACTTTAGGTTTTATTTGAGTTTTATGATGAATTGGTTGTGATGAAAACAATTTCTGCTGTATATTTTTCCTACAGTTACTTGTCCTAAGTCTTTTTTTTTTTTTGGAGACAGAGTTTTGCTCTGTTTCCTAGGCTGGAGTGCAGTGGTCCAGTCATGGCTCACTGCAGCCTCGACCTCCTAGGCTTGGACAATCCTCCCTCCTCAGCCTCCTGAGTAGCTGGGACCACAGATGTGTCCTACCATGCCTGGCTAATATTTTCTTGAATTTTTTTGTGGAGACAGGGTCTCACCATGTTGGTGAGGTTCGTCTTGAACTCCTGGGCTCAAATAGTCCTCTTGCCTAGGCCTCCCAAAGGGCTGGGATTATAGGTGTGAGCCAGTGTGCCTTGTCCTCCAGATCTTAATTGGTGTTAATTTAGCATATTGTCTAGGAAATAGTTGAATTTAAAACCTAAGAGTGCTTCTTTTACAGTTTATTCTTGTAATTATGAGATATAATAATGTGGATCCATCACTTTTTAAAAATAATGAGTTTTAT